AAAACCTAAATTGGGCCGGCCCTGTGGCTTGGTGGTTAAGTGCGCGCGCTGCAATGCTGGCGGCCCGGGTTCGGATCCCGGGTGCGCATCGAGGCACCACTTCTCCGTCCATCCTGAGGCCGAGTCCCACATGCCGCAACTAGAAGGATGTGCAGCTATGACATACAACTATCTGCTGGAGCTTTGGGGGGAAAAAATAAAATAAATAAAATCTTTAAAAAAAAAAAAAAAAAACCTAAATGATTGTTTTTAGGATTCATATTTACGTGGTAAAACTATACAGAAAAAGCAAGTAAATGATCACTATAAATATCAGGACAGCAGGACAGTGGTTACTTTACAGGTGTGGGACGAGTCTAAACCAGAGAGCAGCAGCATGGGGGCCTCTGGGGTGCTGGCAATGTCCTTTTCCTTGACCTGGGTGGTTGTTGCCAGGAGTCTCATTTTATAATAATCTATTGAACTACACATTTATGTTTAGCACACTTTTTAAATGTGTATTATTTTTCACAATGCTTTTTTAAAAAAGTATAAATTCAGCAAGAACAAAGCATTGGGGGGTTGGGGGAGGATGGCTTGTTGAGTAGACAAGAAGTGTCTGCCACAGGAGAACAGAGCTGCCCCATCTGAGCAGAGGAGGAAGAGAGTTCTACGTGGGAGAGCAGCGTGTGCAAGTCCCCAAAGCACAAAAGAATGTGGTGAACCTGAGGAACTGAAAGGTGACCAGGCCAGTTCCAACTGCGCTGAGAGAGCAAGAGGGAACAGTGTGTGTGACGAAGCACGAGGACTGGGCAGAGGCCAGATGGTGGAAGGCCAGGCAGGCATATGCGGGTGTTTTAGACATCTAGACTCACTAAGGGAACAGTGAGACGTCACGAAGGGTTTTAAAGCAGCGAAGTGAGCTGATCAAATCAGTTAGCAGGTCATTCTGCCTGGAGCATGGGGCATGGACTGGACAGGGCCAGGAGTAGGAGCCAGGAGACCAGTTAGGAATTCGTTTCCATAACCTGAGGGTTAGTGGAAACTTGGACTAGGGTGGAAGCAGTGGAAAGGTGAGGAATGCAGTGTCCTCTGCCCTGTGAGCATTTCACAACTCTGTTCAACTATATGCAGTGCTATCTCATTTTTTTATGTAGTTAAAAATACTTTTTTTATATTATGTACCCTATTATATTAGATACGACACTTGTACCCTGCTATATACAGTACACGATTACACATACATACTTGTACATATGTTTGTATAGAGTTGTGTACACAAAACCATGATGACTAGATTTTATGAGTAATTTAAGGGATTTCTAGAGGTTATGTTGACTATATAACTTTTGCCTTATCTTTATTTATTTTTTCCCCCAAAGCGCCAGTAGATAGTTGTATGTCATAGCTGCACATCCTTCTAATTGCTGTATGTGGGATGTGGCCTCAGCATGGCCAGAGAAGCGGTGCGTCAGTGCGCGCCCGGGATCTGAACCCGGGCCGACCAGCAGCGGAGCGTGAGCACTTAACCACTAAGCGATGGGGCCGGCCCTGCTTTTGCCTTATCTACTGACTTTAAAACCTAACCTTAGTGTAAGGTGGACTCCACTGCTGATGGATTTAAGAGATATTTATGGGATTTGGTGACTGACTGGAATAGAAGGGAGAAGGAGAGGGATTAATTGAAGAATGATATTCCCAGGTCTCTTGCCTAAACAACTGAGTAGATGGTGGTTCTATTTATTGAGATGGAGCCCACCGGTATAGGAATAGTTGGAGGGTAGAGATTATAGATCATTTTCTCAATATTTTATGAAATATTTCAAAAATGCAGAAAAGTTGAGAGACTGTATAGTGAACACCCATATACTCACTACCTAGACTCTACAACTCACTTGTTATATTTTCTTTTTCACATCCTCCCATATTCCCAGAAGACTTCATCTTTGAAAAAGCTGAGTTTGTGGTATCTAAGGGACTTCCACGTGTCGTATCTAATAGGCCGCTGATCTAGAGTACAGAAGTACATTTAAGAGCAGGCTGCACATGCCACGTCCCCTTCTTTGCCTCCCATTCACACTCAATTCCCTAGAATTTGGTTTCTGACATCTTCTTCTGAAGGTGCTTTCACTAAGACCACCAACTACCGAGGACTCCAAAATGGAACTTATTACCATCCTCCTGTAAACCCCGCTCCTCCTCCCGTATATCCTACCTTACAGTGACCCAAACCTCAAACTTGGGAGTCATCCTAAACACTTCCTGGAGCAAACAGGTGCTGTCAATTCTGTCTCCTAAGTTTTTTTAAAAGATGTCCCCTCTTTCTTCAATCCCTGTACCATTCACAAAGTTCTAGATCTCGGAATTTCTCATAGTTTTATTAACATCGAAGAATTAGTTTCAGCCTCTGAACTGGTCCCTGTCTCTATCCTCTCTCCAGCTCATCTATTCCTACCCACCTGTCTGTCCACCTAATTGAGCTTTTTTTTTTTTTTTTTTTTTTAAATCTGTTCACATCACTTTTACAATCCTTTACAGGTGCTTATCCCCAGGTTGGCATGACATCTATAGTCCTTCAAGAACTTCCAGAAAGCATGACTAAGCCTAAATTTCCAACCTCATGCCTAGCTACTCTCCCACACCAGTTACTACTTAGTGGCTCTTCAAATATACAAACCACACTTTCTGCTTTATTGCCTCCTCCAAGACCTCCTTGAAAGCCAGGCTAGTGGCTCCCACAGAATCCTGAGACTACGTCTATCATTAGATATTCAAGTCTCTACAGAACTAAAAACCCTTGAGGGCGGTGTTTTAGTCTTCTTTATAGCCAGAACACTTAGCACTCTGCCTAACACAGAACAGACACTTTAGTCTAGCTGAACTTGGCTAACACCAAGTGCTTTGTACATCCTCCCCTTCCAGCAAAATCCTACTCAAGCTTGAATTCCTCCATGAAGCTTTCCTGGGCCCCTCCACGTATTTAGGGGCTCTGACTCATTTATGCACCGCCCCTGATCTTAACAAATTGTATTTTAATAGTTTATCTATTAAACTAATTGCCGTAAATGTTAACGCTTTCACCTTTTCTTGAGAACAGCAATCCTATCCATGCTTCTGAGCCCTATTCAAAGCCAGGTCCTCCATTCACTAGTTGGAGGATTCCTAGCGAGAATTATTTCTAACTCTGAGCTCCTGATGCTTATACCTATTTAGCACTTGATTTCTTTCGCTGTAGCTGCTTATTGCTTTTCTGGTTCCCCTCCTCTCCTCCCCGATAGACTGTAAACTCCTAGGGCCTGGGACCCACTCGTCTCTGACTGCCCCTGAAGCACTTGGCGCGGCGCTTTGCAAATGCGGCCCTAAAGCATCTCCGGGAAGGTCCTGGAGGGACAGAGCCCTTTCGAGAACTCTCTGCCGGCGGCTCCGCTAGCCCGTACCTGCACGACCGGAGCTCCGCCCACGCCACGAGCTCATTCCGACCCGGGCACAGAGGGAAAACATGCCGGTCGGAGCCGGGGAAGAGCAGGCCCTGGCCTCTCCCCGCCCAGTCCCTGGGTCCTGGCGGCAGCCGGAGGCACGTCGGTCGACCGCGCAAGCTCGGTGACGCTCTCCAAGCGCCTGTCGCGAGCGCGAGGCCCGGGTCGCCCAGGCTCGGGTGGGCGGGGTTGCCGGTGCAGGGGCGGGGCCCAGTGCAGCCCTCGCCCGCCCATTGGCCCCCGTGCTGACGGACAGGCGAAGGAGCTGCTAAGACGCTGCTTGGTTAGAAACGGCCATCAGGGCAAAATATAACTAAGGAAATAAATAAAAGGCTGTGGAGGAGGGGAGGAGAGAATGGTGAGTGTCGACTTGAGAGCGGCTGGGACATGACGGCGGTCCTCGGTTCACCCTCTTCCGCCATAACCGGGACCCGGGAAGTCCCGCTTTCTGGAAAGTTGTCCTGGGAGCAGTCACGGAGGACTCGTCCCCACAGGACCCGAGTCTTCATTCCAGTTCTTTCAGCTCCAGTTTTGTGGCTCCGGTTTCCTGCGGGCAGCCTCCAAGGGCTGGAGGGAGTCCTGCCACCCTGTGGTCCAGCTCAGGTGTAGGGGCTACAGCCCCCACCCCTCGGGCACTGGCAGATACTGTGCGAACTGGCTTCCCAGGTTCCTGCCTGCCTGCCTGCCTGCAGATTTTGTAAAAGGCAAATCTAAACATGTCCTTTGCTTGAAACCGCCAGTGCCCTCGCGGGCAGAGGCGTCAGGATCCACCTTCAACCCTGGCGTATCAAGCAGTTGTGATGAGCTCGTGCTTATCTTTCCAGCCACATCTCGGAGGAAGACCACCAGAGTTAGGCCCTTTCAGCCTTTGTGCTTCTGCATGAGCTGCTCCTTCTGCCTTGGGCCGTACCTGCCCCTTGCACCCTCTACCTCTCTCCTGGAGAAGCGCAGACCTCACGGCCGCAGAGGTCTCCTCAGTGCACCAGTATTGTCCCCGGCCCTACTCCCACCTCTGGGCTTGGTGATCTCGTGCTCCAAGCATACTGGCACTCTGGTAGTCCTGTACCACAACTTATCACACCTGCTAGGTTCCTGGATTGTGAACCACTTGACAGAAGGGACTGCATTTTCCAGATGTGTATCCTCCAGTCTAGCACAGTGCACAGCGATAAGAGTTCAAAAAATGGATATTGAATGAATCAATGCATCACTTTTGATCTGGATCAAAAAGTGAAGATTAAAAAATGTCAGGCTGGGCTGTGGCATTTTGGGGACTCACTAAAGACATGAACCATATCTTTTTCACCTCTGAATCCTGCTAGCTAGCTAACAAGGTGACACTCCTTTTTAAATATGTGAATAAATTCAAGATAACAAATTGTGAAGTTAAGTAGTTTAGTTCTGGTCCCACCACAGCCTGTGGTAGGACTTCTGCTCAGTCAGTGCAGGGCAGGGCAGTGGGCCTCAGGGCCCAGTCACTAAAGAAAATCCAAGCAAGCTTAGGAGGGTGTGTTTGTATGTGAGATGTTACAGACAATGAGGATGCCAAATCCAAGAGGTGTTTACTGTAATGAGTGTTCGGGGAGGGTGGGGTGGGGTGGGGTTCCCTCAGTCTGATCCTCCAAGGCTCTGGGGTGACTCACTCTTCTTTGGGTCCAGGGGTGGGGCTGACATTTGTTCCTGAGTTGGGCCCTGCTCCCCCTGGCCCTTGGCATCCCTAGTGTCTCCAGCCACTAGAGCCACATTCCTCAGATAATTAGTGTTGAAGCAGTTGGTCTGTTCATCTCCAGGGCTCAGGTTACAGCAGAAGGCAGAGTCTCGCCAGAAGTTACGTCGGGGACCACACAGTTCGTTGATGAAGGCTGATTTCTGATGAAGAAGAGTAAAGCAGAGATGATGGGGGAGGGGGTTGTCAGAGGTCAGGCACACATATTTGGGTGCCCAAAGTCCCCCTTCCCTCAGCTTCTACTGCTCTCTGCCTGGGTCCCTTCTTGGAGCCCAGAGACAGTGCAAGGCTGCCTTGCACAGCTAGATTCCTTGTGACAGACAGATGTACACATCTGGAAATGCCTGAAGCTTGAGGCCCAGAGAAGGTATAATAGGAACTTAGAAGTGGGGAGAGGTCAGGCCAGGAATGAAGACTTCTGGAACCAAGAAAAAAGATCTTCTCCACTAGTCCTCATTATTTCTGTGGGCTGGTTTGAGGTACTAAGGAGAAGGGGTAGCCTGTACTTCTAGCCCCTCCCTCCCCTCCCCTGCATTCCTCTGGAGAGTATGACCCCTACCCCTCACCTCCTCCTCAGCACAGCAGGCCTGCTCTGGAAACAGCAGTTCACAGCAGCGGGTGGTCATGTTCCGGATCAGCCCAGGAATCTGTTTACTATGTTGGTGGAAAGGAGCAGAGGTCAGAATCCTTGGACATCCCCAGGCATCAAAATGGTGCCTGGAGACCATGATTTTGCTCCTCCCAAGAGTACCCCAGAGGATGCCCCAGAAGGGAGGTTTCTGGGAAAGGAAGAGAGTTGGGGAAGAACTGGGCAAAACTCACTGTTTGGTGAGAACTCTTGTATTTCCACAGAGATGGCCCATGAGGTTGGGGGTGACTCGGCTGAGGTCAAGGGTCAAGATATCCCGGTCATAGTTGGGGTAGGGAGCCTGACTGGCAAAGCACTCATCGCGGGCAGGGCTAGGAGGGTAGTGGCAACACGAGTGGTGGTGGGTCTTTACAGCCTGTTCCCGATCACAGTATCTATCAAGGGCATCCTCCCACTGTGGGCCAGAGAGAGGGAAGTCAGAGGCCTGGACACTTGGCCCCTTCTCTCCTGACCCTCTGCGAGGGACTCCCAGCCCCAGGTGCCGAAAGAGAAGGGCAAAGAACCCTGAGGGCAAGGAGGCGGCTGTGGATTTATGGGGTTGGGAAGGTGGAAGCGTGGAAGCACAAATGAGGTTTGGAGCTGCCCACAGGAGATGTGCTGGAACGGTAGACGGAGAGGGTCAGGTGAGGCCACAGCTGGATGGATGGATGGTGGACAGGCGCACATGTGGGATCATGGGTGGACGAGGACAGGAGTGCAGGATGAAGGCTCAAGATGAACAGACTCAGATGATGAACATAATGGATGGATGGAGAGTCACAAGCAGATGAACGGGTAGACGTGCTCACAGTGGGGAAGTACATGGATGAATGGACCGGCGGGATCAGAGGTCGGAGATGGGCGGGCAGGCAGGCTCTTGGGGGGCTGGGATGCCCACTTACGGCCTTCCATGTACAGGTGTGGTTATTCCCCTGCCGGCAGCAGCGCTGGAACTCCCCTTCCAGCCGGGTCAAAGCCTGCAGCTGCCTTTGGATGGGATCAGTAGCTGGGAGGTTTCGTGGCACAGAGTGGAAGCGTCTTAGGTGGCAGATGTTCTTGACATTGTCCAGAGTGGGTACCCCAGGGGGAAAAGGTAGCTCGGGGCCCGAGGAAATACCAGGCTGGTGTCTGGGGCAGGCCAGGAGCTGGTAGTGTGGCCGGGGAGCTTCCTCCTGGAAGCAGGAGAATCGAGCCTCCCCCTGCCGTTTGCAGCACCAGTGGGCTCGGGTCTTGACCGAGAACTCGGCCTCACAGAACTGGGTCATTGCATTCTCCCACTAGAGCAAGAAGGGTAGATCAGCCCAGCAGCCCATTGTTCACATTCCTGTCTTCCTCCCAGCTCCAGAAAGGGACCCTGGGCAGGTAGATAAGAAAGAAGCAGAGGCTGCCCTCTGCCCTCCTGGCACCGAGGGGAGGCCCCAAGATAGGGCCAACAAAAGGGACCTGAGGTTCCTGCAGACCCAGGCCTAGGCCTCTAGTCCTTAAAACACACACATACATATTGTCTGGGGGTAAAGGGATACCCCCAGGATCAAGAGCCCAACCCTTACCACGAGTTTTGCACAGTCCAAGCGGTTCGTGTAGCTGTGGCAACGGCAGCAGCGAGAATATCCAGTCTCCAGCAAATTGAGGGTCTCACCTTGGCGACTAAGGTGGGAGTGGCCAGACTGTGGCAGGTTCCAAGGGCCGTACACCACATGCTGACGATTAGGAAGGCAGATCTGGTCCAGATTGTCGGGAGAAGGCCGCCCAGGGGGGAAGCCATCCAGTCGGTGGCCCCAGCCCCCTCGGGATCGGCCCTGTTGGCAGTGCTGGGCTAGATTCCATGACTCAGGCTCTGGGGGGCCATGGCTTATGAAGGGAGCTGGTTTTCCTAGAATGGGGAAAACAGAGTGGGAAGGGGAAACATGTGGAGGAATAGACAAAGGCTGGATGAGTTGGTAGGATTGAAAGAACGTGGAGTCGAGGAGAAATGGTTGGGAAAATATAGGGGGAAAGAGAAAGAAATGAATTTGCGGCTCTTACCTTCAGAATGACTGACTGAAAGGAAAAGAGAACTGAGGCATGAAGGGTGTCCCCCTTACAGCCTGTACTCTCAATCAGGCCTGCTCCCTGTGCTGCTTCCCAAGGCTCAGGCTCCCTGCTCCCCTCCCCAGGGTCCTGAGCACTAAAGCAGCGGGCCAGACTGACCAGAGCTGTCACTCACCCTCTCTCTGCCTAGGTCGGAAGGTCGTCTCCTTCTGATGTGGGAAAGGTGGGTCTACTGGGGTAGAAGGAGATTGGTAAGCAAAACTCATGTTGGGATGGGCACCTCTAGAAGAGGGGACCTGGCCAGTTCCCCTTCATAAAGAGGAACTCAAGAGAGAAGTACAAGTAAATGCTCTTTTTATGCCATTTAATCTCATATATTTATAAAATAGGTATTATTTCCCCAATTTTACAGATGAAGAAACTAAAGCTTGGAGAGGTAACTTATGTGTGTATGGGGGGGAGTGGGTAAAGAGGAGAGGGAGTCACTTACATTCCTTTTGTTCCACAGGGAGCTGAGAAGGGGGCAGCTCTTCTTGGAGTGGGGTGGCTTCCTGAGGGAGAGGGGGATCCACTGCAAGACAGAGGTGACAAGGATCAAACTGATGTCAGCAAGATCATAGTGGGCTGGAGGCTGAGGTGAGGGAATAGGTGAGCACTCACCTTTCTTTTGCACAGGGATGTGGGGAGGAGGCAGCTCCTCCTTTTGGATAGGGATGCCTTCCTGAGAGGGAGGGGGCTGCACTACAGAAGGGGGAGTATGTGAGTAGCCCACCCCTTCTAGCCAGGGCAAGGAGAGCAGGCAGGGCTGCTGTCCCCTCCCCATCTGAAGAATGGAAAGGAGGTCAGATCAGAAACCTGGAGGGGTAACTGAGAAGGGTGTGTGGTGGACTTACCTTCACTCTGTCCCTCAAATTGAGGGCCATGCTGAGAAGTGTCAGGGTGATCCATGGGGAGGGCTTGGGTTAGGGTTGGGGAAGGGGGTGCTGCATAGCCAACTAGAGGCAAGAGGGGAGATGGTCAGAGCCTACAGTTCCTCCTAGACCCCCAATCCCATGCCACTCCCCCAAACTCTTACCTTCTTGAAGGTGGTAGGGGAGGTGCTCTGGCCCCAGCTCCCTCTGCTCTGGAAGCTTCAAGCCTGGAGTGAGGAAGAGTGAGTCAGGGGTGGTTTTGAGGAGCCCCTTCTGAGCACAGGATGGAGAGACAGTAGAGATCAACAGTGTAGGAAAAATGACCAAGACACTAGAAGCCCCTCTGTTTTGTACCCATCCGATGTCCTCTAACCCACCCCCCCAAAACACACCTAGACATGACCACTGGGTTCTGAAAAAGCCTGTGATATTCTGACAGCCTCACCTCTACTAGGCTCAAAGCTTTGGGTCTCCAGAGTCCAGGCCTAAAGGGAATGTGACATTCGGTGCTGGGGAGGAAGGGTCTAATCTCCTGTCAGTGTCTTTCCCTCAGGGCTTCTGGGCTCTCCTCCCACAGCCATTCTGCTGGGTTGCTTCTCTAGTTTTCAGAGGAGAAAGTCCAGACCTTGAACTGGTTGGAGCCTCACCTGTCCACCTCCTCTACCCTCCTTCCTAGTCCAGGCCCTTTAAACATCTTTGGGCCTTCTGATAAGGAGCCCACGCAGAAGTTTAAGTGCCTCCCTTTCAGCTAGTCCCAGATCCTCCTTAGTTTAGATCTCAATTTAGGACCTAGGGAACTGGGATGGTTTAGGACTCCTGAGGCAAATCACCCACAGCCACAGGGAAAGGAATCGCTTGCAGCTGATCTGCAGTCACAAAAGACTAGGACCTAGGAGGGACAAGACAGGGCATTACAGAGATACAGACTAGATCTACGACACTCTCTCAATAGTTTCCCTCAGTAGTGTTTTGTTCAGCATCCCAGGAGATAACGTGTGTGTGCTAGAGGGTGGTTGTGTCTGGTCCCCTGTGGATGGATGACACCCTCTCAACTCCTCTCCTAACCAGGCAGGGAGTCAGTCACGGCTCTCTGGGTCAGCAAACTGGTTTTGAGCAGCCTGGGGGTCCCTTCTTCTTCTCTCCTCTGCTTAATAGGACCACATATACATCCTCCTCATGCAGAGCCCCTCACTCGGTGAATCCACCCACCCCTTCAGGAGTTGTCCATTTGACTCCAATTTTGTGTTTGTTGGCAGCAGTCTCTAGGAACCCTTTTCCTCCTGTGTCGCTGTTCCCCTTCCCTGGTTAAAAGCTCCAGTGCCCAGGCCCACCTAGAGCCTGCTCAGAAACAAGAGGCCAAATGAGAATCACCCTGCTGGTGATGAGCCATCTAGGATGGCTGGACCCAGGTCCCAGGCCCATGCCAGTCGGGACCCCTTCCCAAGTGTTTACTCCAACCCCACTCACCTCCCTCAGAGGCTACAGAAGCAACAGCCAAACAGGCCAAGACCAAGGCTGCTCTGGACATGGTCCCCATCCTGGGGCAAGGACTGGTCAGTGGCCACCCAGGAGGTAGGTCTTCAGGCAGATTTGGATTTGAAGGGCTGGGCTGCTGGGAGCTTGCTTCTCTGGTTGCTGTTACTGCTGTTGTTAACTTCAGGGCCGGTTCCTTCTCCTTTTTATAAGGCTATTTGAGATAGCTCCCGCCCTCAGCTTCCTGCCATGACTCAGTCCCAGCTGCTCCTCCTCTGGTAGCCACTCCTCCCAAATTCACCCTGAAGCCTCCTGAGAGGATTGACAAGAATGGGGGTGATGAGAGAGCATTCTTATGACCCCAAGAGAAACTAATTCTGAGAATCACAGAGCAAGAGATGTCTGAGACCTTATTCTATGCCTTGGTTTCTCCATTGGCATGCTGCCTTCTGTGGAGAAGGGATCTGACAAACCTGCTGAATTGGGATAGGGGAAACAGGGCACTAAGGAGTTTAGAGTGGGGAACAGAACAGCTGTCCCAGGGACGTCTGCTCCCAGTGAGAGGCCTGGGCTGCCCCTCTTCAATTTCCCCAACACCCTGGGAACGAAAGGGAGGAGACAGAGTCAAACTCCCTTCTATCTCCTCCTTGGGAGTCAAAGATGAAGACACATACTCAGTAGCTTCAAGTTTATTATTTTTAGTTTTACTCTCCTCACATCCAAACAGCTGTAGCTTCCCCCACACCAAATCTCTTTCCAAGAGAGCAGATTCATGCCTCCACACAAGTTCTGAGGGGTCTGGGGGACTCCAGACTCTGTTAGGTGTGGCTCTCCTGTGTTCAGGGAGGTTGGTGGCTCCTGCAGGTCTCTGCCACATCTATATACAAAAGCTCAGAAAATTTCTTCAGCATTTGGGACCCTGGTGTTCTGTAGCTCCAGCAGCCGCTTCACAGCTTCAGTCAAGTCCCGTTCCCCAAGTCGACGATTATCTCGAGTCCGAATGTTCACTGTCCTCTTACTCTGCTCTTTCTGGCCAACCACTGCAGGAAGAGGGGAGGTTTGGGAATCTCAGGCCAAATTTATCCACATGGGATATTTCCTTTGCTATGCAGAAATTTAAGAGATCTAAATCTTCAGGAAGGGTGAGAGAAGAGGCCAGAAAAGTTCAGGAAAACGATATATTTAGCTGTCTCTTGCTCTCCAGTTCCCCAGGGGCTCATCCTGAGGAGATAAACATTCTCCTACACGCCTTATCACTTCCAGTCAGGAGCCCAGGGGTCAGAGATAGTAGGGTTAGCCAGAGAAAGACAAACAGGTCAAGCAGCAGACAGAGAGAGACACTGTGTGTGTATGTACATTAGAGAAGGGGAGGGTGGCAGGGGTGGAAGACACATGTGCAGGTAGAGGGGCAGCTTGCTCTAAGTGCTGGCAGGGCGAGTGGGTGTGTAAACCTCGAGAACAGGTAATCTGGCTGAGGAGTTTCTGCTCCTTGCCTTCCAGACACAGCTTTGAACCTTGGAAAACGAAAAAAGGAGCAAGGTAGGGCTAGAATTTTCTCCTTAAGGCCTTTCTCCTCACCCTTAGGGCCAACTCCATCTAAGTCTAGAATAAACAAAGCTAACTAATTAACACCTCATTAACCCTTCCTGTCCCTTTCTCTCTGATGCTCCCTTGGTTAATTAACAGACACCAAGGGTTAGGGCGGGAGTCAGAAGAAAACTGTTTTGAGGGTCACAGGTAGTTGTCAGGGGGTGAAGGAACCTAGGGCCCAAATGTTTCCTGAATCCTGGCTCCTGCCCAGTCAGGTAATGAGCCCCAATTAACCCAAATATGCAGATGAATAAACTGAATAGATAGAAAAGAATAGTGTAGAGGGCAGTGTTGTCAGGTTCCAAGGGCCTGTGCTGACCTGGTCACTTACCAAACTGAAAATTGTAGTGGGCGAGCTGAGCCCGGCAGACTCTCCGGCTAAGGGTCAGTCCAGAGTCCGCATCCAGGTCAGCGACCAGCCCTGCAGCCTGCAGGCTCTGCTGGGCCTGGGGCAGAGGTTTGGTGACAGGAACTTAATTTAATAGAAGCCTGAGGAGGTAGAACAGTCTGATACTATTCTTCCCCAAGCTCCCACCTGTTCCTCTTTCCTCTGCTCAAAGCTCTCCAGTTCCAAGGACAATCCCTCCTCACACAACCCCTCTTCATTCGTCTCTACACTGAGGCCCCTCCCCAGGCCCCACAGCTTCTTTGTCTGCCTCCTACTGGAGCCAAGCCCGCCAATAATTCCCTGGAATCTTCCTGCTTCTAGCCACTGCTCTACTCAACCAGCTGCACAACTCTGGTACCTCCCATATCCTTATTTCTCTCTAGAAAGGAAAAATAAAACCAACATTTATCCAAGCCCCTTTCTGTGCCAAATGCTCTTGTCGTCAGTGTTTAACATTAGTTAATTTGTTTAATTTTCACACATCTCCACAAGGCAGCGATTAGTCTCATTTCTCAAATGTGGAATTTCCAGCATACAGGCCAGCGGCCACTTGAGTCCAGTCTTGTGGCTCTAAGTGCTGTGCCCCTTCTACTACCCAGTGTGGCCTCTATTACCCATTACTCAGCCCCCAACTCCCTATTAGTCCTGCTCTGGCCCCTGTCCTTACCGCCAACTCCTTACCTCCCTGGCATATTCCTCTTGCTCGGTCCCCACAGGGATGACCACTACCTGGAATGGGGACAGCCACAGTGGCCTGGTTGAAAGAACAGAAGAGGGAAAATTATTTATTATGGCTCTGACCATAAGGGTGGCTGCAGGGAGCAGATTCTAGAAGGAAACAGATGCTGGAGGCTGAAGGGGGCCAGGATCTGGAGCATGCACTACCTGGCTTGAGGGCCAGAACAGAAATCTGTGGTCAGAGGTCTCACCATTTTCCCCCACAGCTTTCTGCCAGCACTCCCAACATCCTTTCCACAGAACCTAGCACTGCTCGGTGAATGAGGACTGGACGCTCCGGGGCCCCCGCCTGCCTTGGAGAGAAAAAGGAGGGTAGGTGGAAGGCAGGAAGTGGCACAAAATGTGCACCGAAGATCACCACCTTCCAGTTTTTAAGAAATATTCAGTCCTGGCAGGGGAAGGTGGAGAGGATTTGGTTTAATTTTTAGGGTCCACGGTGGAAGGGGAAGTCATTCTCCACCTATTCCATGCGCAGCCAAGAAAAAAGGAGATGAGGCAAGCCTCTGTACCCCTTGTACTGGAGGTCAAATCTCAGGGGCAGTTGGAAGTCAAGCTGGATTGTCCCACACTGATGGGGCCGACCCAAGGCATCGTGGAGGTGCACGTCAATCTGGAGGAGACGGATGAGAGGGCATGAGAGAAACCAGAACAGGTATATCCTCCATTATCCATGTCCCCCACCCCCCACCTACCTATCTATGTTCAAGGTTGTTTTGAGAGACATGTCACCCAGCTGTATTATACTCTACTTCACTCACTGGGGACTCTGGCAGTGGCTCTTTCCACTTAATGGTGTTATAATATTAGGGGACATCAACATTCACATGAATGACCCATCCACATCCTAGCTTCTGAGTTCCTTGAGCTCCTCACCTCAGGGACCTTCACCCACACCCACAGTATGGCTATATCCTTCATCCTATCATCGTCCAGAATGGCTGCACTTCTGAAACAGTCCTTGACACCCTTCTCTGATTACTATCTCTTGGTCTTCCAGCTCTGACAACTATTCCTATTAACGGCTCTTCAATCTCTAGGTTCCTTAACTCTTTTTCCTTCCCATTCACAGGTCCCTCCCACCTTTGTTTCCTCCTCCCATGCAGCCATAACCACTCTTCCTGGTTTCCTGCTATCATTGTTCTCCTCTCACAACCACGTGCCAAAACTCCACCCTGGCGGCACCCTCACCTCCCATCCTCTTGGGCCTGCAACAGATCTGCTCAGTGCTGCCCAACATGTCACATAATACACAGATGCAAAAATAGGGATTGATGCCACCATGCAGGTCGCTGTTTCACACCTTAACTGGGTCCTTGCTGCTGCCAGCAATCCTCTGGCTGCCCTAATCAGCTCTGTGTCCTATTTTCCTCAAGGATTTTCAAGCTTTCTCCTCTCTTCGTATCTTTAGGCCCCTTGCTGACAACTCTCCTCTCCCCAACTCCTATCCCAGCAAATGACCCTGCCTTCTATTTGATGAAGAACTCAGATAACCGATATCATGAGATGGGAAAATGTTTCAACTTCCTGTCACCACACCTATAAACTTCCTTGCATCTACCCCCAGCCTTTCCTCCTGCCCCCCAAAACAATGGCAAAGGTGGTACCTTCTGTGGAGGGTTCTCGATCCCATCACTCAAGCCTGCCCAGGAACTTTCCTCCACTGAAATACCTTCTACAACTTCAACTTCTCCTTGACCCAAACATGCTCCCTCCCATTGCAGTGTTTAAACCTTCTCAAGTCTCTCCCTTCATAAACATCTCTTTTGACTACCCAGGCCCTTCAGCTCCTTCTGCCTTGAGAAGAGCCAAAGTTCTTGAAAGAGTTATGCCCATTCATTTACTTCTGACTCCACCCCCAATCCCCACTTTACCAAAAATGGTCCTTCAAAACCTAACAGCCGTTTTTGCTAAAACCAGCAGACACTTTTCAGTCCTTTTTATCCCCTGACTTCTTTCACTTCTTCCAGCTTGCCATGTGAGTTTTCACCCTTCCCCCCAGCCTCTGCCTCCACTGTTCCCTCCTGAAACACCTCTTTATTTGGCCAACAATTACCTTTCAGATTGGAAAGAGGTTCCTGTAGGAAGCCTTTCCAGACCCCTCTGAGTAACATGCTCCCTTAGTACCTACACAGCACTGAGCCCACGGTGCTGAAACGGCTGATTTACCTCCCACAGCCCTCATTAGACCATAAGTTCCATAGGGGCAGAAAATGTATTGCTCTTCTCTATAGCCTACACAAGTTTAAAAACAGCCCTTTGTCTGTTAAGTATTTAGTAAAACAAAACAAAAAATGAATAAATAAAACCCTAACCAGGATCCCCAGCTTACCTTAGGCCCATAGAAGGCACCATCTCCAGGGTTGAGGTCCCAGGGTTCTCCAAATTCTTCCAGGGCCTGTTGAAGGAACTTTAGAGGGAATGAGACAAGAGAGAAATATGTCATCTTAGACTTTATAAGCAATACATCCCTC